TATCCTTATTAATTTTTGATGGAATAGCTCTTTTTTACAAAACTTTTAATTTGTAATAAATTAATCGCTGGAATTATCTTGTAAATTTTAAGCGCAACTGTTTTGTATTCCATTTCCCGATGTTTTGTATTCCATTTCTCAATGTTTTGCATCGGTTCTCTTTTTTCTGTTAGAAAATTTTGATGAGAGAGTGAAGGCATACACGATATCTAAATTTATCTATTAACATAAGGGACTATAGAAGGTGTGTGAAAAAAAAATTATAATCACCAACATTAAAGTTAAAAGTGATCACCGTTGACATGCGACATACAACATTTATAAAGCGTGTTTGGAAAAATATATAATAATTAGTAAATAGTAGTTACGTTTGTTAACACTTTCAGCATTTCAAAGGACCTAATTTTATTTACATTAACTCTAGTGCATTAGTCACTTTAGTGGTAACTTAAAACTTGTTTTTCTTGGATATACAGAGTATAGTATTTATGGTTATGATATTTCACCAGGTTAACCAGAAATGTTATAACTATTATTTATTTTAGTGAAAAGCTTATCAAATTAAATTAATTTTGACCTATTAATCTTTCACAAAAAAAATAAAAATGTCAGCTTATACATACATTGAAACTTCAGTGAATTCTGTTAAAGAGAGGGTTGTTTCTTAAAACATTTTTATGTATTTTTTATATGACTAACTGTTCAAATTTATACACGGGACTAAATAACATAAGTTTTCTGAAGTTAAAGTATAAATGTTTTTACTGGTTGAAAAATTAGCTTTTTTGTAACCAAATAAATTTTAGCTTGAATTCTATAGGAGTAAAACTTTTTTTTTCTCTCTCTTTAACAGACGGGATGATAAAATTAAGTTACCACAATGCATGAACTCTTTGCTCAAGTTCTAAACAACAGAGATCTGTCCCGAGCTGGTGATCTGTTTTCCTTGGATGACCAAAGCATTGTGGGGGATTTGTCAGAGGTTCTGTCCAAGATCCAGGAAATATCGAGTGCCTCGGAATTCATTCTTAATGGCAACAACCAGAGTGTTGTGGAGATTTGCATAAATAGGGTAACCTCTGCAATTAGGTAAGAATAAAGCAGTTACAAAACTTGTTTCAGTAGGAAAGGAGAGCAGACAGGTCATGTAGTTGGTATTATACCAGATCAGCAAATGTGGAGCTCTCAGCTCAAGTTTCCGTCCATTCAGGTTTTGTTACATCATCACCCACTTAATGAACTTCTTGTGTCAGAAACAGTCCCACAATCGCTGTGGTGATATGAGTACATTGTCAGTTTATTCATGTCTGAAGTTTCGTGGAAGGGTTTTCAGATCGTCAGAATACAGTGTTGCTTCAGTATGACATATTTGTTTTATCTACCTTATTTTATTCCTTCAATTTTAGTCATAAACACTGCTAATGAAATGTTTATTGTTGTATTGTTGATGAAATAGCTCTTCTGTATATATTTTTATCTTCTCCAGGGACACTGGAACTATCGAAAAACATGCTCCAGCTCTTGTTTCTTTATTGGAATCCTGTCTTAACCATGACCTTCGCCCTTCCAGTAAGGATGAAGACCCACCCCATGCAAAAATTGCCTCAGAAATTGTCAACTGTATTTTTCTGGTAGTAATGTTCACGTTATGTTTAAATTAAACTTTATGTACTATTTGTCCAGTTGTATAACATAAACAAGAATGATTATAATTCATAACCAAAATGTTGTTTACTCAAATGTTTATTTATACGTTTCACATGAAATTCCTTTTTCTTTCTGAGAACAGTTTAAGTCAATATATTAAAGTATAAATGTTGATGCTGTATTCTGCTTTAATTTTAGATGTATGTAACAACAGCTTTTTCTTTGGTCTAGAATTACAGCCGTAAACCAGTAATGAAGCTGCTACTGCCCGTGGCTGTCAAGTTTCTCCATCGTGGCAACAAAGAACTCCGGAGAAATCTCTCGAGTTATCTGTCTTTGGCTGCAAACAACAATGCAGAACTGCTGGCACCTCACATTCAGCCAATTATAGATAGTGTCATAAGTGGTAAGTGTCTTTATCAGCCAATTATAGATAGTGTCATAAATGGTAAGTGTCTTTATCAGCATCATACAATACAGTCACTTTTGCTAAAACACAGAGTAGATGCTCACTTTCCTTGTTACCAAACATTGAGTTAGTTCTTTGGAAATATAATTTTCAATGCCTGGTATATATCTAATTGTTTTACTATGATAACTGAGAGTAGTGATACGTAATGGTATGGAAGAGTTTGTAAGAATTAAAGGAACTTTTTTTTCCAACAATTTTGATATTGTTGCGTCTCCGTTCACTAGTTAATTTTCCATAACTTCGTTCTGACGAAACTTTAGCGACACAAGTCCTTTCTT